GTGGTTAGGGTTAGTTATAGGTGGTTAGGGTTAGTTATAAGTGGTTAGGGTTAGTTATAGGTGGTTAGGGTTAGTTATAGGGAGTTAGAGTTAGTTATAGGTGGTTAGGGTTTGGGTTTGGGTTTGTAACAGTTCTGTGTCTTATTATTGATCACAATCACCAGCATGACTCCACTGATGATGAAAACAGCAGAGCACTCATCAGATGGTCCTTGAACACATCATGTGTTTACACGTGGTTCTGTTGGAAAATGAACCAAATCTGAGCCTCAAACTGAGACATTTCATCAAATCCCTTTGTTCTGCTGGAGCTCCTGTGGTCTCCTGGTGTCAGGACCCCCCAGCCTCAGACCCAGTCCTGGCCTGTCTCCCTCTTTTTCTCCCTCCTCCCTCTCTGGCTCTCTGCATCTCAGCACTAATCATCAATCACCTTCAGCTGCAGCTCCTGTATGGACTCTGCTCATCCCACCTCGGCCGGCCACACCGGAGACCTTCCTCCTGCCTGCATCCAACCGGTTTCACTCTGGACTCCCCGGGCCTGTCTGCCCCCTGTGTTTTGCCCCCTTTGTGAGTACCCCCGTTTGTTTGAGGAACTTCATTTGTTATCTTGGATTTCATTTGGTTTTTTGCCCTCAGTTCTTAGTTTGGAGTTTTTCTAGTTTCGTCCTTCCACTCAGTTTTTTTTGCACTTTAGTATTTGTGTCCAGTTTTACTTCTCATGTGTTAAATCATTTCACACTGAACCAGCCTGCCTGCTCTGGATTCCCCCCGTGACACCTGCTCCTGCACATGTTGAACTATCTCCATGTTCCAGACTTGTCCTCTCTGCTCTAACCCGAAGCCGTCAGCTGTAGGAAGATGTTCCACCATCAGCTGAATGTGTCTCCACCGACCGGCTCCTCTGTTCTCTGGTTCTGACCCGTGCTGCATTCATGTATTGATTTAGGATTGATTGATTTTCCTCTCAGTCTGAGTCTGTGGACTTTGGTTTGTTTTCCTGAAGAAGCACTTGTGATGTGTTCAAGGCCTGTTGGACGGTTGGCAATCTGCTGATTCTTTCAGCTCTGGCTGTTTAACTGGAGCCGTCGTGCTGTTTTTCAGAGATAACGTGGTTCAGTCAAAGTAAACCAGATCAAAGTGCGCAAACAGCGACTCAGCAGTTTGGTTGTAAAGCAAGCAGCCGAGATACTTACGTTCATACGTGAGCCAGAACTGCCTCTGAAGAACCAACAGAACACAATCAGAACCGTTCTACAGGCTGTTCTCATCAGGAATCTGACTTTGTTGTTCATCACAAACTGGTGTGACTGAGGTGTTAAACTGGTTCAACTGGGATCTTTCTGACCGTCTTGCTGTCGTCCTCGAACACCTCTCGAGCCTCCTCGTAGTCGCAGATTTCCTCGATGCATTCGCGCTCCAGGTTTCCTTGTTGCAGCTCCTCCAGGAAGCCGCTGTTCGCTCGCCGCCGCCGCAGCAACGAATCGGCTTCCGGCTTCTGCACAAACACTGAACCAACATCGGATCACATGAAAGTGTTCTGGCGTTGAAAAGCAGAATCAGAACACTTCAGTGTGCTGATCATTGATACCAACAACTCATTCACTGCTTTTCTGTTAACTGTCACCAAATATTCGGAGATTCAGTCTCGCTGGAACGAACGCTGAACGTTCTCCAGAGGATTCGCTTGAAAAGTGACCAAAGTGTTTCAGTGAATATTTTTCAAAGAAAAGCTGAAATAAATCTTTTTTATGCTCATTTTTGCCATGAAGGGCTCAATTTTCACATTTGAATTAAAATTACAAAATAAACTGTTTAATTATATGAAAGTATTTAACTACAAACGAGTGAAATGTTCAGACCTGCAGCAGCAGCGACGCCTAAAAGCAGAATCCAGCAGCAGCTTCTCCGCAGCATGACGCCGGCTTCCAGGGCGACGACGACACGGCCACAAAACTGGGCTTCTCTAGGCCCCGCCCACTGACCATGTGTAGGCCCCGCCCACTGACCATGTGTAGGCCCCGCCCACTAAGGGGTCAGGGAACAAATGGGGAACTAATTTGACTTCTGGCCTGCAGTTCATCTGACCTGAAGTCAGAACCAGGAGGGCAGAAGTTTCTGGATGTGGTGGAAACGTTGTGGAACTTTGTGGTTCTGATTTGGGTCATTGTCCTGACAGTTCAAAGAGTTTTGACACTTTCTGGCTCATTTTGGGTTCCGTTGGTTTTTTTATTGCAGCGACTCAGTTTAAAGAAACAGAGTTTTATCCACAAACTGTTTAATCAGGTCAGTTACAGAATCAATAACAGTCGATAAAGAATCAATAACAGTCGATAAAGAATCAATGACAGTCGACAAAGAATCAATAACAGTCGATAAATCCTCAGTTTTCCTTCCCTCAGCTGGTCGTGTTGGTCGCCGGAGCCTCGGTGCTGTTTCTATTGGGTTCTGGTGGTTCTGTGGTTGTGGTCCGGTTGTGGATCCAGTCCAGGTAGTTGGACACGCGGGTGTAGATGCCGTAGTTTCCGGGTCGGGCGCAGCCCTTCCCCCAGCTCACGATGCCCAGCAGGAACGCCGTCTTCTTGTAGCGGGTCACCAGCGGGCCGCCGCTGTCGCCTTTACATGAGTCCTGGCGGCCCTCGATGTATCCGGCGCAGAACATGTTCTGGGTCAGCGCCACGCCGCTCTGCTCCACGCAGTCCTGCGTCCGGATCCGAGGAACCTTCAGGCGTCGCAGCAGGTGGGAGGTCGGTCCGTTCTCACTGCGACGCCCCCAACCGCTGACCGTGTGCAGCCGGACCGCCCAGAGCTCGCGCTCGGCCAGCGGTCGGGTCGGCAGGCAGGCCGGGACGGCGAACGGCGTGAAGGTGATCGGAGACGCCAGACGCAGCAGCGCAATGTCGTTGTCGGCGGTTCTGGGTTCGTAGTTCTCGTGGAGGAGGATCTCGGCGACCTGGACCAGCTGCTCGCTGCCTTCGTGGACCTGAGTGTTGTGTTCGCCTGCAGACCAACGGCAGAAACCAGACTCATCAGGTTCAGAAGGTTTTACTGCAAAGTTCTCCTCCAAGAAGTGAAACTAAACAGGACCGACGGGGTTCTGGTGGTTTTCATGTTCGGAGGTAAATTACAGACAAATTATCGTCCTCGATCCATTTACCGGATCTTCAGGACTCATACCTGCGACCACCTTCAGGAACTGGACCTCAGTGTTCTCCAGGCAGTGCGACGCCGTCAGGATCCACGTGGGTTTATAGATCATTCCTCCACAGAACCCTTTGCCTTTGTACAGCAGCAGAACCTTCAGAGAGAACCGGCAGCAGGTGAACACTGTGGTTCTGTCGGTTCTGTTGGAGCAGAACCCGGAGCAGAACTCGACCTACCTGCCACGGACATTCACCTCTCGGACACTCGCTGCCGCCCACAATCCGGAGGTGGTTCTGCTTCTCTTCCCCCTGCAGGACCGGAACCATTCCGCACGCTATGGCCTCTGGAACAACAACAACATCAACAAGAGCCCAACTGTTCTCATCACCAGGTCCAGCGGCTCAATGTTCTGCAGGGTTCAGGTTCTACAGAACATCGTCTGGTATTAACCTTCAGCCTTGCAGCTCCGTCCGTCCTCGTCCAGGAAGTATCCGTCTGCACACGAGCAGTTCAGTCTTCGTCCGTCCACGTCTTCTTCACAGAAGTGTTCACAGCCGCCGTTGTCCAGGTAACACCGGTCCGTCTCCACCTGGAACTCTGAGAACGTCTTCAAAGTGAAACCCGAGAAACGTAAACAACACGACAGAAGTAGCTTCAAAGCGTTAGCTTCAGCACCAAAGCACCGGCAAGCGCTGCACATGGTAAATACACAATGATTTGTGTTGGTTGTTGTTGTGTTGTTGTGTTGTTGTGTTGTGTTGTGTTGTGTTGGTTGTGGTGTTTGAGGTGTGTTGCTTGTGTTGGTGTGTTTGTGTTGCGGTTGTGTTGTTGTGTGGTTGGGTTGTGTTGTTGTGCTGTGTTGTCGTGTGTTGTTGTGTTGTGTTGTTATGTTACGTTGTGTTGTGTTGTGTGGTTG